TTTTTTGTTAGCTGGTTTAGTTTTATTTCTTTTTGTTGTGATTTCCATGAGATATGTTTTGAGGAAAGAGGAAAAAGACCACCATAATTGTCACTATCTGTCATCAATGGTAATGCAAACCAGCCAATGCATGTCTGAGAGCAGAGCATAATGTGGCCTCTGTGTGCAGGTGGTTTGTTGACAGGTTCTTGATTATTCTAATAGCCTTCCAAAATATATCAAAGTTACTGAGTAGTTCCAATAGCATACTTTATTGAATCTATTTAATCTATAAAATACAGGTGCACATCCTTCTGCATTTATATTGTTCTGTCTGATAACATTATGAGCATAAATATTGTGTTCCTTGTTCCAGTGTCTTTGATGAACCTGTAATGTTCCTGTTCCTCTCTGCTATTCTGCTGTGCACTCTATTCATTAGAATTCAGATAATCAGTTTCATTATATGGCTCATTAGGCTGATTTTATTATGGAGTTCCCATTCATTTGCACCTGGCTTCTTAAGCAGTGCTATGAAAATAGATCTATCTTTTGTTATATCACCACTATTGTAGATTTCATTTATTATTTCTGTAATCTTGTCTATGCTGAAATTGTCTAAGGCTGCTAGCATCTCTATTACAATTCTGTCTGGCCCTACCACTTTGTTTCTGTTCAATTTAGGTAGTACAAATTCCACTTCAGATTTTAATATTTTCAATCTGGCAATATTTCTATATATTGCCAGTTCTTATTATATTAAGCGTTTGGTAGCAAGAGAAAAGAATAACGATTATTAAATTTGAACAATGTTTATTGTTGGCATGTTGTACAGAGATGTTGAAGGATGGGTAGAATGTCTGTCGGGATGGCAGCTGGGTGTAAGGGTAGTGCTGGGAGTCGACCTAATTTTTGTGTGGGTTTGGTATGGGGTCACAGTATATGGTTGGTGGCTGTGTTGGTTGATCAAGGTCATGGTGAAGGGTAGCATATCATACAGATATGTCAAACCTATGTGAAATGTCAGTTTCAGTTGGCGATTGTCAGGATAGCAATCTGGTGTGAGCATATCATTAGGAGTTGACCTATTTCTTGTGCTGGCCAGGCCAAAGTCACAGGATATGATTGGTGCAGAGGTGATGTCAGACTGGCATGGTTTTGGTAGGCCTTTTTCATGGAACGAAAGTTGCACTGTTGACTGTGAAGAGAATGCCTTGTAAATGAGTCGAGGTAGGCCAAGATGTGTGGCGGGGGCTAGTAAGCCTGTTCTATGAAATAGAGGTCACTGATTGAGGTTATGGTTAGACGGTCGATTTCTGTCAGTTGATATTTGCTGAGGCGACATCGTCATTGATGATGAAGGCTTGTAGCTGGGTGGTGTCAAGGTTGAGATGTTTTCAACTCAAAGCTAGATAGCCAAGGTGGTTGGCCAAGCCTGGGTGAGAAATGACCATTGAGAGGTGCAGTGATGTTGAGTGTTGGCGATGAAGGCAGCAGCAGCACCTTGTATGATGATGGCCGATCAGCCAGGCCGCAACTGCTAGTGGCTAGTGTTGTTCTCAAAGAGCTGCTTTTAAGTGGGTCTGGTAGTCTCCAGGGACATCTCTCTCTCTGGTGGGAACATTCGCAATTGACTACCACTAGAGCTCACTTTATAGACTGGATGTGATGCGTGGAGCCTAATGTGCAGAAAACGACTTTTGTTATTTCATTCTTTGTTTTTGTGGCATTCACATCTGGCCACCATGCAGAATGAGTCAGAAAGAGATCTAATTGTGATGGAACATAACATTCTATATATTCATTCCATCTCTGAAGTATTTTTATTTTCCCTACTATCAGAGTTCTGTCCTTGGATTTTATGCATTCTGTTGTTGACCATGTCTTTTGCCTCGTCAGTTCTCTTATATTTTTATGCATATCTGCTTTATCTGTGACTCATTTTTTTCTATTTCTGCACAGTTTTCATTCCTCTTTAGCTTGTCTGCATTTGTTCCTTATTTCTTTGTTTAGTGTCCTTTAAGCCAAATTCAATTCATTTGCACCAGAAGCTCCAATACAAACATTTTAGAGTTTTTGAGTGTCAATCTGAAAACAGTACAGAGGATTTGGAAAGAGTTGGATGATATATCCTGTCAACATCATGGTGTTTGGATAGAACACTAGTGATGGTGATATTATACCTCCATTCATCTTCCCACAGGGCCTCAGACTCAACACAGAGGCCTATATCAAGTGCCTTGAAGAGGTAGTGCTGCCCTGGGTGAAGAGGGTGGCTTCTGGAAGACCTTATGTCTGGAAACAGGACTCTGCACCATGCCACACAAGCAGGAGAATTCAGTTATGGCTGTCAAACAATTTCTGTGACCAAATCACCCCTTACATTTAGCCACCTAACTCCCCAGACTGCAACCCCCTTGATTATTATGTGTGGGGTGCAGTTGAAAAAGAGACCAACAAAACTCCTTATAATACCAAAGATGAACTGAAAGCAAGGTTTATGGCAGCATTCACCAACTTAAACAAGAAGACCATCCAGAAGAGTTGCAAGATATTCTGAAGTCTTCTGGAGGCTGTGGTTGAAGTCAATGGCAATTTTATTGAGTAAATTTACTCTTTAGTATTTCAAGATATTTTTGTGTAATGAGATGTGAAAAATGAGATGTCAGTGTTATTTTCATTTTTGTGTAATTTAGATGACAATTTATCCATCACATTCTGTATATTTAAGTTTAATAAATATTTTGATAGGTGTATTTTTTCTTATTTCAACCCAAGTAATAAAGGCACTTAGATGCAAAGATAGAAAGAAACTGTGAAAATATTACAACATTAAAATACCAGGATTCAAGTAGAGAGAAAATGAGAATTGACATTGCATTTAAATTTTTGAAAATCATAGCTGATAGGAAAGCAAGAAGCCAGAAGAGAGTTCCATAAGTGAGAAATACAAGAGAAAAAAATATCAACATAGAATTTACATTTAAACATAGCAATTTCAAATGATGAGACATAGCTGCCAATCTTAAATTCATGAAGTCAAGGTACCAAAGAGGAAATCTCATCAGAACAACTACTATGAAAATATTTATAGAAAAAGGGACAAGGAAGCTATGTTATTGGAGTGTGAAAGTAACTGAAGCCGAGATGCCAGGTTGGGACAGATGGTATTGCAGATTCTTTTTTGGATTCATCAAGAATCTCTAGATACACAGCTGAAGCACCAGATGTGGCAACAATATCTGAATGATTGACTTATAAAGGTACATGAAAAATTTTGGTGAGAAAAATTGTCTAACATGACATAGTAAAACAACTTTCCTCATAGTTTATATTTCTGATTATCTTAATCAAAAACTGTCTGAATGTTTTAGTCAAAACTTCCTATTTACTGAATTGCTTTATGTTTTTTACATTAATTCTACCATCTTTCATTTATTTCTTAAAAGGACAAATAAATCAGACATTCAACAAAGACTAAATGTATAAAGTTCAAACATCATAGCAAGAAAGCCATAAAAGACAAGAGAATTAAACCAAATGAAAGGCAATTTTATACTCATTTCTTATTTAGTATTTTCTTTTCTTTTTTCTTCTTTCTTAACCTCTAATTTGAATGACTGTTCGATGTCAACTTATAAAGTATATAATTCATCAAACAATGACGTCTTAAGTTAATCAACTGATAATATTAGGAAGAGAGAACAGAAAAAACTTTACACTATCTTGTATATTTGATGACACTCCACTTTAAAACTTTTCACTGTGAGAAATGCCAATAATTTTTAAAAAATTTATAGTTCAATTCACTAATTCCACATAGCTGCCTCAAATATAGAACAACTGCAGTTTTGAGGCTCACAAAGCAACAAATCATGATAATAAATGGCTATATCATATGGCATATTGTGTTTTTTTAAGACAATACTAAACAGTATTTTTTAAAAATATTTCTAATTACTGTAGCATATCCACAGGCACAACACTTTCCTGTTATGAGTAACAAGGAAACAGGAACTTATGCAAAAAAAATTAGTTTTAAAAATTACTTTTAATTATAAAATTAAAACTAATTTTAAAAACTAATTTTATATTTTTTAAATTTTTAAATCATTAATTTATTTTTAAAATTTTTAAACCATTAAATTATTAACTGACAGCACAAGACTTATTGACATTCTGAATTTGAAAAATGAAAATAGTAAATGATATTTTTTAAAAGATGTGTGAAGATTTGCAAAATATTTTTGATATACTTTATCAGAACTTTGAAAATAAAACAAAAAAGAAACAAAGAAAGGAATTAATTTAGAAATGAATAAGTTTTAAATATGTCATTATTTGTTGATTTTATAATTTTCTCAGATTTCTTTCATAACCATTAACAGTCTTCATGTGTTTGCCACTGATCTTTTTAGTCTTCATGTCTTGTGCATATTAGAATACATTTCTTGCATAGGTCAACTAGAGATTTTGAAGCAAATAGAGGAACCAATTATTCTTCATCTATGTACTATGACACTTCAGGACTTGGCAATCATGGCTCTCAACAATTTTCTGTCTTTGTAGTTTTTAATCATGTATATCCATTTGTTCTTTATTTAAAAGAAATCTTTTGGTAAGTTTTTTTCAAAAGTCTATTTTTATATGCAGATATCAATGATGTAAACACAATTTCAAATTTGACATTTTAAATACAAAAGTAAGTGCAGATAACTTTATATTGATTTTTACAATGTATTGACATTATGAACAAGACACCTCTTCAAAAATAATAAGTCATTGTTTTTTTTATTCTAACAAGTGTCAAAGCTTAAAGAAGATCTAAAGAATGCTAGTCTACAAAAGATGCTTTCCAAAGGAATTCTTCCGTTTTTTGCAACTGGACCAGTCTTACCATTTTTTAGAGTTTAAATCATGTTTTTGCACATCATCATGACCACCACTATTACGACCACCACCATCATCATCGTCATCATCATAATCTATTTATCTATTTATTTTGTTTCTTTAACAAACAGGGAGAAGATTACTAAACTGAAAAAAAATGCAGCAAATACGGAAAAAATTTCAAAACCAAAGGATAATTTTTTGAAAAAAGAAATTCAGCTGAAAATTTCAGCTTACAGCCAGAAAAACAAGAACACAAAATCAACTCCAAAATATCGGTAAGAATCTCCAAAGTATTAATGAAAATGAAACGTTTATTAAATTGATGATATATTATACTTAGCAAATATTATATATATATATATATATATATATATATATATATATATATATATATATATATATAAATATATATAGACAGTACGGCCCACTGTGTACAAAACCCAGGGGCCACTCAAGGTAGAGGGTTATGTTAAGGGGTAGTTTATATGGATAGGAGGGAAAGATAATGGTTGGGGTTGAATTTTATTCTTGAACAAGGTAAGATTGCAGTAATCAGGGAAACATCCCTTTGGGAGTCTGTTCCACAGTGCAGTGGTTTGTGGGAAAAAGCTGTTTGAATGGAACTTACTTCTTGCTGATGGAATAAAGAGGGGATGTGGGTGGTTTTCTGCTATGTAAGTGGCATAGCAGGTCCTAGCCATTAAGGTTTGACCTGGCAGAACCAAGAAATGTAGTTTGTCTGAGCACTCAGAGACACTTTTGAACTCTATCAAGACTGGAAAGTGATGTCTGGGCAGCTCCCACCCAAATATTGCAACTACTCTATTTTCAGCCTGATCTGGCTCTTATAAAGGTAGAGGATTGCATGAGGAGTCAGGTACTTACTTGAGCGGTATAGGGAGCTGATCATTTTACCTACATCTTTAGCAATGACTCATATATAGCAGTTCCACTTGAGGTTGGGTGTGAGTTTGAAGCCCAATATCCTCTCAAAGCACAGGGCCTCCTCAAGGGGACATCTGTTCATTGTGACTGGTAGTAGTTCGGGGTCTGATCAGTGGTGATGGAATGTAAGCAGTTTGGTTTTAGAGGTATTGAATGTAACCAGCCAGTTTTTTCCCCACTGAGAAGTTAGTGTTAGATTGGAAGACAGGTCAGCTGCCAATCTCTGATCATCTAGAGTTTTAGAGATGTGCTTGTATATTGTTGCATCATTGGCATAGATACTTAATCATCGGAGTATATTTTTAGGTAGATCATTTATGTACATCAGAAAGAGGGTTGGTCTGAGAAGTGACACCTGTGTGTTGACCACCAGGGCCTTGGAGGACTGGCTGTTAATAACTACCATCAGAGATCTACCAGTTTAGAAGGATTTTATAATAGAGAAAACCCTTCCAGTGATTCCATAGCTGGAGAGTTTGTGTAGCAAACCTTTGTGCCACATCATGTTGAAGGCCTTTGAGTTAACTAATCCTATGTTCCTTGCAGTGTGTGTGTGTGTCATCAAAGGCCTCTCAAATTCTGTGTGTAATGGTAGTTAGGACGTCAGCAGTAGATCAGGTTGATCAAAAGCCATACTGCTCATCGCACAAGAGGTTGTTTCTCTCTAGGTGTTCACAAAATTCTTCTTCATTAAAGTCTCAAAAAGCTTACTGATGATACTGAGGAGACTAATTGGTCTATACTGGGAGGGGGAGGATAGCCCACATGTGTTCTTGAAGATCAGGCATATGCTTGCCACCTTCCACAGGCTTGGGAAAAATGTCTCCAAGCAGCAGTTTAATAACTTTGTTCAGATTGGGGATAATTCTGGATTGATATTCTTAAGGATGACCACTGGAACTTTGTCTAGACTAGTGATATTTTTTTAGGTTGAGGCTTTTGATAAGTCTAGGGACTTTTCTTACTGAAATGAGTATATTACTGAGATTGTGCTTAGTGAGACTTGAGAAGTTAGAGAGAAGATGGCCTTTGTCATCTAACATTGAGTTTGAGACAAAGATCAAGCAAAGAGCTTTGTCTTGTCTGTCGAGGAGGATATGACCTCGGAGCAATTTATAATAGTGGGTATAGCTGCTAAGCCTCCTTTCATAATATGGTTGGTGATCTTCCAAAATTTTAAGATCCAATTTGTTCCTTTTCAACCTTGACCTGGACAGCTCACACTTAACTTCACTTTGCATTTTCCAGAATTTTCTCACAGTGATTTCTGGTGGTTCTGAAAATAGTAAGGGCCAGACTATACTGTTCCTTGTGATAGATTTTGAAGTAGTGGTTCCAGTGAGCTATGGTTGCAGTGCATCCAGGGTTAAACCAGGGCTAACTGTTTGGAATTTGTTGGAATTTTTTTGCAGGTATAAAACACTCCAATCTAGTAATGATTCATTCAGAGATTAGGGCAACTGTTTTGGGGGCAGCATGAGAGGATTGGGAGAGGAGCTTCCATCATATAGGATCAAAAGCTGTTCCAATCTGCCTTTGTGTAGCAAAAAACTGTTCTATGATTTTGGAGTCAATCTGGACATTGACTAGGGAATGGCCTGACATGCCAATGGGCAGTAAAACTTTTACTGTGCATTTGTCAGGGCAGGATGTTAGGAAAAGGCCAAGGAGGTTTGCCTGTTGTCCTGTTGCATCCAGGACTCAGGTGGATTCATCAATGATCTGGGTTAGTTCATAGGCTAGAGAAGTCTCTGCAATATCTGCTTTCCTCGTTTTTGTATGCTTGCCACAGGGAAACCTGTCCTTGATGTAGGCACTGAGCCTCTGACCATGGCAATTTAGGTGGTTATATATTGTTATAATGGGTGAGTAGCCCAGGATTGTGAGCTCCTGTAATGGGATTGAGGCATTGACACCTGCTTCAGACAGGAACAGGAGGTTAGGTTTATACTGAAGAAGATGGAGTTTCACTTCTGGAAAGTTAGACTGTAGACCACCTTATATTGGTGTAAGAGATGGTATACCTGGGTTCTACATTTTTTTTTTTTGGAGGTTGTGTTTGCTAGTTTTGTTCATTTTCAATTTGATTGATTTCATGTTTGCTATGGTTGGTTTGGTGGATGACTAGTTGGCAATGAAACAGGTACCCATTGAAGATGCACGTATAAGTAACCTGGATTGACTCACTTGGAGATACTGCCGTAACAGATCAGGTTCAGATCCCTGACTATCAGGTGGATAACGCCAAAACCCAGAAAACATTTACCCCTTAATGAGGGGACAAATAACCTGGGACAGATTCAGGTGTGAAACTCCGAGTGTACATGTCTCTTCCCTCTAGATGTCAGGGCAACAGAACTCTTCCTTGGGCTAGAAACATTGTACTAGCCAGAAACCTAGGGTACCAAGGCAATCTCGCTCATAGACATGAAGCCTAAAAGACTCATTGGGAGAAGGAAGGGTAATGAAGGTTGCTCAGGGTGGGGAACTAGCCTTATTTGAGTTAGTATAAGAGGCATAGTCTTTAGGCTGAGGGCATGCATAGGGAAGTTACTTATTCTATTTGAGAGAAAAGAAAAGAAGCGATAAAAAAAGAGTTTGGACTTAAAATATAATTACTCATGACACAGTCATAAGGTGGGAATTGACAGTTGTTTTGCAAATTCATTAGAACCGACTGACCAATGGGGCAAGTGAAAGATTAAGGATGGGCATGATAGTTATAATAAAGTTTTATAAGTTCCAAGATCCCCACTTTGAAATGTGTCGATATATGCAGACGAGCCTGTTTACCATGACAGAAAAACTTCCATCAAATGTAGTGTGATTGACAATTAACATTAAATTAATGTGCACGTAAACAGTACAGATGCCATATACAGGGTGTCCATAAAGTTCGTGTGCACTTTAAAAAATTTATAACTTTATAGTACACACGAACTTTATGGACACCCTGTGTGTGGTCGCATGGAGAGTTGTTTGTGACCTTAAGTTTCATGCTTTCATGATCTTCAGTCAAACTAGTTTATTTTTTCAAAAGTAGATCTTTTTATGCTTTATTTGTGTTTGGTGTTGATAGGGGGTAAATTTTCTTCTGTGTTTGTTTGGGATGAGACTCATATATGCATAGACCCACATACATACAGGCATATACATGTTAGTTCACGCATATATATCCATACTGATAATCTTGGATTAGGTGCAGTTACACATTCATACATTTGAGCACACATATGTACACAATTTTCATTCTATTTCAGTGGCAAGATTGTGGCATTTCATACTCCTACATTGAAGCATTGGTGGCCTGCTGGCGAGCTGCCAAAGGCAATGCCAGCGGTCCTTCGGTGGCAGTTGCCAGTATACCACTGTCAGGCCACCAGTGAGTCTCTAGCAGTCCACGATTGATAACATTGCCAAAATGAACACACCAGTGGCCTGACAGCAGTCCATCAGCGGCAAAAGCTACTGCTATGCTACCTAGTGGCAGATTGGTGGCTTGAGTGTAGAGGTAGCAATGTTCTCTTAGTTAGGGACAGGTGGGGGTGGCTTTGATGTTTTCCAGGTTGGCTGTTTGCATCGGCAGACATGATCACATGCACTCATACATACATACATATGTAGAGGCACACTCGCACCCTTTGATTTGGGTCTATTACCACCACGTAGGTTGAGCTCTGTCTGTAGATATGGTGATGGTGTTTGTATTTTTTTCAACAGCAACACCTGCAGCTTAACAGAATCATCTTACTAGTATGGATTGTGTGGTGGGAAGGTTATTCACCATTCCCATATATATATATATATATATATATATATATATATATATATAAAAATTTTTGTTAGAAAGATTCTGTTCAAAACTTATTGTATAATCTAAAATGAGGATTGGAAAAAAAGGCACCTAATATTTAATATAGTGATATTTATTTATAATATATGAATTTTTACAGAGAAGAATTTAAACTTTGTTACTTACAATTGGATATTTAGTGTTTTTTTTTTCTTAGGAAAATAATTTGTTGTTTTCCTTTTTTATATTTTTTTACTTTAACCAGTTTTACTTAGCTTTTCAAAAAGTTTTTACTGTTTCTCTCTCCACATGTTGATGCTTATGTTTTGTACCTACGAAAAAAATGAAAATCAAGGGGTGTAACTGGCTATATATGTCGTTTATGGTAAAGGGAAATTGATAGCGTGAAGTATGGGTTTGAACTTGTTGATGAAAAATGTTTCTTATTAATCTACCATTGTTCAGTGGTTCTGTAGTTGCATTAGTAAAATGGGAAGACACTAAAATTTGGCAGATTTTGTCCTCCGCATTCCTCTA